AGGTGCCGTGAACAACGTGGTGCACCGCCTGCACTCTGCCAGTATGGAACGAATCATGCAGCCATTGCAGCTGCACTGGTCGGCAGGGAAAATCACTCATTGTAAACACACCGGTCCAAGAGCCGGCGGATAAGGAGCCAGGCCGCAAAGGGGCAGGGGCTCCAGCAAAAATGCGCACATCCCGATGCATGTTGCCCGTGAGTGCTTTGATGGCTCGAGACGAAGAGGTAAAACCGACAGCGGAGAGCTGGGTCTCCGAGAAGTGCCAAACTCCAGGGCCGAGGTCGGCCGCATGTTGCTCCTTGCCTCGCAGTCCGCTGGGGTTGGAGGTGCCAAAAGACACCAGGGGCTCGGGCCCTGGGTGAGATGCCTCTCCAAAGCGGCGAAAAGGAGAAAAGCTGCATGCTTGGACCGGGGCTGCCAGAGCACTGAACCAAAGCAGGAACTGAAGAAAACGGAAAGGCCCAAGTCGCATCGGCCTGCCTCCAAACCCAAGGAAGCAGCCGGGACGGCCTAGTCACTCAGATCGGTGCTTTTTGGAGAGCAGGGCCTCCAGGGAAGCCGTCTGGGCGGTGAGTTGCTCGGACATGTCGCTGCGTAGCGCGGTCACGGCCTGAATGATGGATCCGGAGACCTCGGTGCGAAGGGACCCGATCTCGGCCTTTTGGGCAGTCACTGCTTGTTGGACCTCAACGACCTGCTTCGCTTGCTGCTGCATCTGTGAACCGAGAGTGGCGAACCACTCTTCAAATTTACTGTTTTGGAGCTTGACCTCATTGAGGCCGGACTCCAACTGCAACAGCCGTTTGTCCTGATCAGCCGCAGGGGCGGCGCATGCAGCGGTGGCGGTCTGGACTTCCTTTCGAACGAGAGTTTCAAGTCCAGCTTGCAATTCGGATTTCACCTGCGTGATCTTGCTTGCAGCAGCCGAAGGCTGAGCCGAGCTTGAGGCGGCCCCCGAAGGGGGAAGAAGACCAGGCGGCGGGCGTGCAAGGCTCCATGGGTCCAAGCCGCCAGCCCAAGGATCGGCTGATGGAGCTGGGATCTCGGGATCATCGTACAGGATGCGTCGCCGAGTGCGGTTAGAGGCACACAGGGCCTCTGGTCGGGCCTGCGGTCCAACGTCCTTGGTCTTGTGGATCAACACATAAGAGTCACCAGCCTGCATAATGGAAGCAGGGGGGTCGACTGCACTGCCAACTTCCCAAGCACAACCTGAGGAGTCGCCCTTGCATGGTTGCAGTGGGCGGGCTGGCCACTTCCACTTGCTCAGCAACTGCACAAGTGCATGGCGTTGGGTGCCGTGGGGCAAAGGGTGCAGCTTCCAGCGGGCCTGTATCCTGACCTTAACGAAGGTGTGCTGCGGGCGCAGCTCCTGAAAGACGGCTTGCTCATGTTCGTCGAGAACCCGCAACCCAAACTTAGAGCCCAGGCGAGCCAAGCCGATGGCTTTGTCACAGGTGCGAAGCAGGTGTACAACTTGTGCCCTATCATGGCCGGGCAACCAGACAACTGCATATGCCGGATGGGGCCCGAAGCCGGTGGTAGCTCGCGGTTCAAAGTAGAAACCGGGCACGCTGACATGTTGCAAGTGTTTGGCTGCTGAGCTCGGGACTCGAACCAAGGTTTGGAAGACCTGTGCTGCAAGGGCATCGGTTCTGCCGCCCTCAAGCTTAGTGAACTGCCGGGCCCAGACATCAAGAAGCATGTGCTCAACACGCTCATCCACCGCCGGGTGGAAGGAAGCACAGTCGCCCTTGCAGCTTTTGTCACGGCAGAGGTTCAAGCCTGGAACATGTTGCAGGAGCGATTTCACCGGGGCTTTAGCAAAGACTTCCCAGTCCAGTTGTGCCTCGTCACGATAAAGAGAGATCCGACCAGTGATGGTATCGAGCTGGTCGATCTCGCCCATGTCTGCATCAGCTGAAGACAATTGAACTTGTTCGTCACCCAATTGCAACATGGAGCCGCTGAGGAGGACTGCCTCTTGGGTGGGAGAGAACACTGCTGGAAAGCGGATGTTCGAGATCGGAGCTCCCGCACAACTCTCTGCTGGTAGCGGAGCGGTGGAGATCAAGGCCAGGGCATCTACGCTAAGCGGCTTATAGTCGGCAATGAAGGGCATCATTTGCTGGGCCGTGCAGAAGGCAACGCCCTGCGCCTGGGAGACAACCTCATCGAACGCAAGCTGGGCCAAAGGAGCGTTCTGTGCTGACACAAATGACCCTGCTGCAAGCTGCAAAGAAAGAGGGTCAACACTCAATGCCTGTTTCAGGGGCCGGCTGGGCTTTTGCTTGCGGGCTTTGGCATTGCCGACGGCAGTGCCGAATTGCAGCGAGGCTTTCTTTTGGGCATATACACGAAGTTCCTCAGGGCGGACCCAGCGGTACAATGGGTTCGGCGCTGAGCCGGCTGCTTTAAGAGCCTGCCAGGGGTTTTCGGCCGAGAGGGATTTTGCGATGATCCCCGCGCCCAATTTTTGAACCGCTGCTTGAACCCGGTCAGCGACAGCTGTCTCAGGAACACCTCTCTCAACAAGCAGCGCCTTTAAGGAACTCTGCTGAGCATCTGAAAGTCCACCTTGGCCCCACAGCTTTGCACTATGCGGTGGCATGCAATTACAGAAGCTGACAGCATCCTGGTATAGCACCTGAAAGGGATCGTTGAATCCTTGCATGGCCTGAGCAGCAAAGGCAAGGAGCATGGGACCACATGAGGTCGGCTCAGTTTGCAGAGGTAGCTGAGGTAGCTCAACATCCGGGCAGGACAAATTACACACCTTGCACACAAATCGCAGGAGGCTCCGGGCAGCATCCAGGCTGTGGCCGGCAAGGCCATCGAAGAGCGAAGCGGAGGGCACAGAGCCGCTGGCAAAGCTCAAAACCAGCAAAGACCAATGGGCATCCCAAAGGAAGGGGAGGAAAACAGCTTCACAGGCAGCTGGCCATTGGAAATCAATGCCGTTGTCAGTCTCATCGTAAAGCCAGGCAAGTCGAAGCCAGTTCGTGGCAGTCGCCGGTGGAACGATAAAGACCGGCTGAGCACAGGCAGCTTGCAGCCGAAGCAAGCCGGCCCAGATCGTGACATCTGTGGTGCCTGTGGGTGGGGCAGAGGCAGGAGAGGAAGGCACAGAACGGCACGCCGACTTTATGTGCACCTCAAGGCGGTAAGTACCTGAAGGGAGGTCTGGATGCAAGAAGGCGTTGGGCTGGAGTTTGCGATTGCCCTCGAAGATCCGAATCAAGAAGCCTGGCCCATGTAGGTCCTTTTCAGCCTGTGCCAAAGCCTGGACTCGTGTCGGCCCTGAAACCTTGAGGTCAAATGTAGAATCACCACTTATCAGCTGCAAGAGAGAGGCTGGCTGAAGGGACGGCACAAGCCAAAGGTCCCGGCGAGTCTCAAGCAGGTAGCGCTTGTAATCCAGGATCAGCCTGCTCGGGTCAGTCGTGCCGCCTGTGGTAAAAGTTGATTCGGCCCAGGCTGCAACATGTGCGGTTATCCACAAGGACTGCAGAGGGGCGGTGATTTGGCCAACCAAGCATAATGCTGCACGCGAGGCCGGGAGATGCAGGAAGGAGGCGGGGAGGGAATTAAGGAAACCTACCTCACCGGCGTGAGGAAGCCTAACCCCAAAAGGGCCAAGAACCCTAAAACCCCTATGGCCCATGGCACGCAGCATGGCCTCGGAGAAGCCTGCTTCACGGCAGCCGCACGGACAGGCCTGCAACTCAGAGCCCCAGCTGTGCAGAGCCTGAGGGGCTTGTCTTTGGGTATCCAAGCAGTGACTCTCGGGGCCACCCACGGTTTCGCTGTCCCATTGGACCTCTTCCGGGGTCCTGGCAAGGTCCTTTTCCTGCTCCACGGGCCAGAGTGGCCATTCCGCAATCACGTCCGACACTAATGTGGGAGTCGGAGTGGGCTGCCAACAGGGCAAGTGCAGATCTGGCAATTCTTGTGGGAGCATGACGAACCACCAGCGATTGCGGCGGGATGCCCACTGATCGCCCAGTTCGAGTGCAACCTGTTGTACCTTAAAGTGCATACGAGCCGCGAAATGCTGCAGAAGTTGCAGGGCCTGTGGCCGGTCTTGCACCTCGGGCGGACATTCCAGAAGCAGTCCCGCAACTTGGTTTCGCCATGCAACCTGGAGAATCTGACCAAGGATATGTGTTTCCCAGTTCGGGTGTCCTCCTTCCATGCCAGGCAAAGAGAGGCTGTAGCTTGGAAGGCTGGCTGCCAAGAGGTGGCCTTGGCCCTGACACGCCTTAGCAATGCTGTATTGAACCTCTCGGGCGCCGATGTCACCGGCGAGCACAGGTCCACCGTTCAAGCGTAGTGTCTCACAAGCGATGTCCGTCCTTTCGACCTGCAGTAGTATATGCATGCCCGAGAACCGAGCTCCAAGGCCGAGGCCACCGATTCCTGCACAAACCTCCACAACTGTTCCAAAGGCAGCTGCCGAGTAGTCAGGTTTTGGGAATGCCCTGGACTCTTCATTGCATGTAAGATATCCCACGTTACGCTCAACGGAGCTAAGGGTGTAGCCGAAAAGTGTCCAAAAGCCTGGTCCCAAGTTTGGGCAAGAATACAAATCCCCATGCATCGCGCCCTTGTAGATGCCTCCATTGACCTGAAAAACCACAATGTCCAGAGTGGACCCGGCTGGAACATCCTTCAGAGCAAAGTCGCCGAAGACAGCCATGGGTTACGGGTCCCTCGAGGGTTTGTGGTTAACGGCTCCACCACTGGAAGGTCTCGAGCCAGAGCTAACCCGCAGCTTCATAATTCAGCATTGCAAGACAGCATGGCATCCGACAGTGCATCCAACAGCAGTTTTTCACGAGCCTTCCCACAGGTTCGAAAAAAGATCAGCCCGACATTTTGCCGTGCGGTCTCAGTTGCACTCGCCCGACGCACATGCCCCACACCCAGAGATAAATGCTCAAAAGGCTACCTTCAGGGAGCAATGCATGCACGAAGTGTGATTAACCCAAGGCCACATGACGCACCTCAATGGTTTGTCTGCTGTAATTTGTCCTCACCGACGCCACGGCCACCCTTGTTTCTCGGCCAGCGTTCAGCTCAGGGTGAGATCCCGTAGGAAGTGTGCCATGCGCCCAGGTTTCATTCAAAAGCCTAGTGCACCCAACACTGGCGACTGGTTGACGCTTTGCATCCGGTTTGACAACCCCGAAAAATCCTCTATGCATGCGGTGCTGCTGGAGCCGCGATTTCTGTCACCGTTGGATGGCCGATCTCTGCCGTAACATGTCTGCAGCAGACTGTCAGAGCAGCTCCCGATAACGAGTTGTCAACACCCCCTTGCTCGCGACAGGTCTCCAAGGACCTCGGAATGTTTCACGCCTCCGAGGTTGGGCTCAGCTGAAGGTATGTGATCTTTCGAAGGTACAGTCTGCAGGAGTGGGATAAGGCTTGTCTGGCTTATCTTGTGTGGGCTGCAACTTGCCTTTCAGGATTCAAGTGCAGTCTGAATCGCCAGAGGTCCGGGATGTCAACTGGTGCACTACAAAGATCCACCTCGTGGGCGGTTTATGCGCGACAAAACTCTTTGTCATCCCAGAGCTCGTACAGCAAGCAGCTTTCCGGCACCTCTCAAGGCCACAGCGCTGCCTTGGATGATTGAGCGGACCATTAGGAACGGAAGCGCAAGACGATCAGGACCCCATGACCCGTGCGAGGCAGCCACAGCTGCAGGCTCCCGCTGCAATCGATGAGTCTTCAAAGTCAGAAGCTTCAGAAGCAGCGCTGGACTCGATTTCCAGCCTACAGAATGGGGCCTATAGGGCTCGTTGCACTTGCGCACATCTTAGGCCGACGTTCCCATCTCGAACTCAGTCCTCCTCGACTGTGACGGGCAGCGCCGTGAGTCAAGCTTCGTCACCCTCTGCAACATCAGGCGAGACATGCATCCTTTCGAGTTCGGCGATCCATTTGTGCTGCAGGTGGCTCCAGGGCAAGCCTGCGAGAGAGAATGCCAGAGGCTGAGCTCGTACAGGAACTACGGGAGCTGAAGGACGCCTCTGCAGGCATGATTGGCAGAAACTTAGACAGAATTCGTCTCGTTGAGAGGAATCGCTGAAGATCATGACCATGGAGCAAAGCCAACGGAGTCTTTGACAAACTGTGTTCCAGCTCTTGACAGCAACATTTACAGTTACTGGTTGGGAAAGCGGCCCGGCTAGCAGCCAAGCTGATCCCAGCCATGTCTCTGGCGGGAGCGCCTTACAGGAATTTGCAGTGCTTGTTGAGTTTGTTGCCCCGTGTCTCATTGCACGTGCCGTTGAGCTGCGACAAGATTCCTCACTAGTGTCGAAACTCTGGCTGATACTTGCTTGGTGGTGACAAGTGTGCAGTGGTATGATCAGCTCGCGGCATCTGAGGGTAGCTTTAGTTTATCGGCCGGTGTTGACAAGAAACACAGGTTCAGAAATCTTGAACAGGACCGATCTTGAAGCATCAGCCTGCTTGTCGGCCATGGAATCGGCCAAGAAGTGTGGAGACGTTAGGCTTGCAGCCTTGAGGTGAGCTGCCCTGGCCATGAAGCCACATGCAGGGGGTGCTGGATTTTGGCTGGAAGGAAGTGTCGTCCTGACAAAATGTGATGGGGGCCAACAGTGCTCCTGTTCCACGAAAGTGTGTGTCTTACCGCTTGTGCAGGGCCAGTGTGGTTGCAGGGGCATTGTTTGTGCCTTACCGTTGCACCAAAGCGCGCACCGTGAGAGCAACCGGCCGTGCGGCCCAGCGGCAGTCAAGGGCAGCTAGCCCCTGCGAGGGGTTCGTCAGTCTTAGGATGGAAATGGTGTCGCAGGTGCCAAGGACTAGCCTTGGAGGGCGTGGGGACAAGCCAGGTTGGGGGTGCACTACTGTAGCGTACAACCTAGAGCCCTTTGGCTGAGTGCAAGAGGAGAGAAGAGTTTAAATATATCACGTTCAAGCACAGTTTCAGTTGACTCAACATCCTGTACTTACACACCACCCTACAAAGCCCGTAACACACGGGCGGGCCTCAGGGCCCGGGGGACCTAACTCGCCCCTTAAGCCTGGTAGAAGAAGAGAAGAGAGAGAAGAGCGACAGAGCGGGTCCAGCATGCCTGGACCTTGACCCGCAGCAAGCAAGCAAGAGAGAGAGAGATGGTGGTCGGGCGGGCTGAAAGCCTGAGGGTCACGACAGTGACCCCTAAGCCCGGCAGAAAGAAGGAAAAGAGAGAGAGAGAGAGAGAGAGAGAGCGGGAGGGAGTAGAGAGGGAACGGGACTATTTCCTTTTGGTGTTGGTGCTGAGAGGGTCACCCAAGTCGCACGATTCTGTACCGTCGAGCCCATCCATACTGAATGATGAGCGGGGCCGTTGTGTCGGGACTGCCTGCACCTCATGCGGTGAGCAAGGCCAAGCAGAGAGAGAATGTGTTTCCCAGGCTATTTGCAATTTTCTTTGTTCATGCTTTGACCAGTGTAGGGCTGCATAGGCTCCTCCCCAGAGCCCGAGTGAAAAGGATCCTAACTCACAAGATCCGACCACTTGTTTTGCAAAGCTATTAGGGAGCTAGCTGCCGCAAGGTCGTGAAAGCCTTATGCTGCAGGCCTGCCAGCACAGCAGAGTGCACCTGCGAAGCGAAAACTGTAAGCACATCTTGGTGGCAGCTCAGCATTTGCGAGCGCGTGTGGATGCCAAGCGAGTGCGAAAGTTGAGCATAAACGTGCTAAACTCCGGCTGCCCACAGACGACGAAGTCCCACGCCTGAAGTTGATAGCCGACACTTGGGGTTGACCATGAGTCTAAAGGGGATGACAGGTTTGGAAATCCTGGTAGAGGAATGACTCCGCCATGGCATCTGGGCACTCTGATTTGCCGGCGCCGCTGCCCTTCGCTCATCAAGCAGATGTAGTGCGAGCACATCAAAAAGATGAGCAATGCAAAGGCCAGGTTGCAGCTCTGCTCATTTCTCGTGCTGTCCGATACCCCTCCTGCACTGTAAGGTGAACTTCGACGGCTGGTCTTAGACGCGGTCGAAGAAACATTGGGCGGCAGAGCTGCGGCATGGCAGTCCACAGCTGGAATCTCGCTAGGCATCGCTAGGCCTCTCATACTGATAGTACATGTGCTGTTCGCTCCCTGCGATTCTCTGGTTTTTGCATATCCTCATTCCACGGCCGCTGCAACTCATACGGCAAAAGGTTCACAGTTTTGCAGTCATTGCAGTCTTGCCGCAAATCATCGCCAAGATGCAAAGTTGTGGCATCCCAAGCCGGATAGCCTCAACTGCCTAATGATAGACTGCCGTCTACGCAGGAACAACTGTTCAGTGTTCCCAGGAGCGGTGGCTGACTACTCCTACTCAATCTTCACGGGAGTCCTGGCCGGCAGCACGTTGGGTGAAGAGCAGCTTGGAACAGCTACAAGTTTGAAAACCTGTAGTTGGGGTGTCATGATGCGATGACTTTGCAGGTATTGCGAGCTGCTTTCTGTCTCCCCCGGCCTACAGCCCTCGGACTGGTCGTGCGCTGAGTCTGGACAGAGAGACATGCTTCAAACATACTCGCGACACCATTTCTGCCTCTGTCAATGGGTGAGGCGACGACGTCTTGCTGCTGCTCTTCTGGCCGTGGCATTGCCAAACTTTCAATCGAGGTTGCACCCGAGTCTCGCTACTCTGATATCCGTTGTCATGCCACTCTTGATGCGCCACTCGACGGCACAGCGATGCCTTTCGGTCTGCTCTCTGTCTTTCTGCCTGCACCTGCTTTCAATCATCCCGACCAGGATTTCACTTGGCATTATTCTACCTCTTCGGTAGATACCATCATCTCTCCGACAGGGCACTCTGTCTACGTGCTGTAAGCATGGCGGAGCGCCCATATCGCAACTTTAGCTACCGACCACTTGGTGCACTGCTCCTCGCGCAAGTCCTTGGCCAGGCTGGCACGCACAGCAGGATGTGATGAGTTAGGTCATTTACGGTCCTGAGAATTCTTGATCTTCTGATGCTTTGAGGTGCTTTTCATGCTGTTGGAAAGGCGAAGGTCCAGAGCAACACCAGCTAATGCAGCAGTTTCAATGACTGGTGTCTCGCACAAATGCAAGCGTTGTCTTTGTGCGTGTATGCCACTGTAAACCATACCGCAGCCTTTGCCTCTCCAGGCATCTGGGACTCGAGCCGCGACAACAGTGTCCGCTCAGCATTCCCTGATCAAGGGCAAACTCCTCTCTGTTAGGGCCTTATGACCTTATCAGGTAATCAGTTGAACACTGTGTGCTAAGCCGTGCTGGCCACCTAGTCATTTTGATAGCCACGACATCCGAGGCAACATTTGCATGTGCCCTTCTGAAATTACAACTGCGACACCGTGCGGCCATTTGTTCTGCTGGGATTGCATTGCAAGCTGGACTCTTGGTTTAACATCTCACCCCGAAGCATTTTCGGTATACGGAGTGGAACAGCTGGGAATTTTTTCGGGGGCCGTTGAGTCGCTGCCAGTCTGACCATCTTGCCGAGCTACGGCGGAAACCGTTGCAGATAGATTCCGACTGACGCTGTCAGTCGCTGCGAAACTCTGTGGCCGCTGCGGAATTTCTGCTGCCAGATGAGGTGTGCAATGAAGTCCTCCTGCCCTCTTTGCCGGGCGGCTGCGCCGTTTCCCGGCTGAGAAGAAGCCCGTAAATAAAGCTGACAGGCTGATAGGCTTGGTTAAGAGCGAGATGAGGCCGCAAAAGCTTCTGCCTTTGCTTCACTATGCATCCACGAGAGACTGACGAAGGCAAGGTGCTCATGAAGAGTCTGCAAACTGCAGAACTGATCGATTTTCCCGGGAGGCTGCCTCAGCGACAGCCGTGTGACCTTCGAGGGTTCGAGGGGAAAACTGCAAATTGCTCACTGCTCACTGCCCTGACTTGTTTGGGTTCTTTGCCATGGCGAGAAAGCTTCATCTCATGCGGCCGACTTTTCTCACCTTGAAGACGCCTATGCACTTTGCGTCGGCCTGGGTGCAGCTGTCTAGCTTTCTAGCTGTGCATGATCACTCACAGAGAGCTTTCGGAGTCGGTTTGCTTTCGGCATGCATGGCCTGGATCAAGACGTTTAGACCCAACTGTGCACACCCTGGTTTGTGGAGATCCAGAGGTTTCGCGGCGGCCTGGAAGATTAGTCCTAAACGGCTTGGAAGCTTGTAGACCAGGCAAACTGGACTTGGCACAGTCTTGTATGCTGTCATGCACATCGGGATGGCTCCTCGCAACACTGCTATCCAAGCTTTCTGCCGCGGATTCGTGTGGCGGTGTGCCGGCTCCGCAGGACCAAGAACCTCGCTCGCAAATTCAGACATCCGGCGACAGGTAGCGTGTGCTGGCAGCTGAGGATTTCTTAGAAGGTGGGGAGGAGACGCTGGGAAGGCCCCTCGTTTCACAGAGTGGCCAATTCGCGTTGTGAATCTTGAGATTCGTTTACCGATTCATATATATATATATATGTGTGTGTGTTCCCTGCACCGTGTAGGAAATTCATCAAATGTGCGGCTGCGTTAGATGATGCTGGTGGTCACCGCAGCATTCTGCCCAGCACGCTCGTTTTCAGAAGACCGCCAGCAACCCGGCACGGAACCAGCGGGTTGGCATCAAGAAGGCGGGGTGGCACAAGACAAGCACTTCACGTGCAGTAAGGATCCTTCTTCTCTGGGACACTCGGCTGCACCATATGCGTCTGTTAGGCCGTGAACCAGGCCTGTGAAGACGGGGAGGCAGTATCAAAAGAACTGGAACCATTCCAAACACAAGATCGAGCCGCCGGCACCCAAAACAAAAGGAGCTAATTCATTCCTTCCATATCGGCTGCACTTGAGAGTCTCGTGACGTGTGTCCTCCCCCATCTGAGCCTCGCTCCTAGCATCCATCCTATCACAAGCTTGTGACATCTCGTCGCGTCTTCCTCGTCCGAGAGCAGTCCGGGTATGAATTCTTTAGGACGATCGTGATTCCAGTCGTTGCACGAGCATCAACAGCGCCTTTCAAAATCTACGGTGCGTCCAAGGCTTGTGCCGGGGAGACTGCAAAACCACATCCGATTCAACAATAGCGACGCACGAACACTCGGAGGCTCCAGATGACTAGCTGGAAATCCAGTGAAGCATTCGCAAGAAGCCACTAGAATCCACAATAGCTGAACAAATTCACCGCGCTCAATAAAAGGCAGTGCAAAAGTGAAGAAAAACGGTACTCCCGCCAATGAAACGCCACGGCAGCTACGGACGCCACCAGAATGACAAACGGCAAACAGGATTCAAAGCTCGAAGTGCATACGGTCAAAACCTGCGAGAACTCGCTGCAGATGCGAGCATCGTACAAACAGAGCCACCGCAGGCAGAATCAGAGGCACCTTGCCCAAGAGGCACGGGCATTACACAACTCGCACGCCTATCGGGATTTGGAACTAGAAGGAAGCAGAACGACCGCAGCTGAGAGAAGCATCGCTTGAATACTTGGGCTCGCCACGGCGAAGATCAACACCGCAAACCTGCCGGACCGTATGAGGGGAGAGTGCATCTTCGAGGCTCGCATGGTGGACCCACGTGCAGCTTTGGACTCCACCTCAAGGAGAGCTGACAGCGGTGCTGTGCTTTTCTTTCCGGTATTCGATGAGGGAGCGGGTCTGTTGTTTGGTCATCGCTGCCATTTACTCACAGCCAGGTTTGCTGTCAAGGAAGGTGCCGTCAAGGGGAATGGCAATGATATCATTGCGCAACATTTTTTGACAAAACAGCAGGCGTCTTATTCGTTGAAGGTGCCCGGATCCGTCGTTTGCTGTTGTGACCATTCGTCGACTCTGTGTTTGACGCCCCCCATTCTGCTACTCCTGAAAGCTGTAATTCGCGAAGCGCCAGTATCGCCATCAGTATGCGCAGCTTCGCTTCACTGAAACACCTGCAGTCTAGCCAATGGCTTGGCTTCAGCGTTAGCGGAAATGGTGGGGTGGAAAACCCGACCGTGTTCTTCTGAACAGCGGCGAAGCAGACTTGTGTGGGTACTGGTAGTATGCTTTCTTAGTGCAGGAGGCACTGTTGCATCCCGTCTACCTCATCGCGACTTGACAGCTGGATGAGCAGTGAGTACCCGCAGACATGTGTTGCCTGATGTTGCCTGTCAAGTGAGTCCTCGGGACCAGCGCGAGCTAAAATAGCGCCTGCCAGTGCACATCAGTCTTTGTTTCTGGCAGCACTGTGCATTGTGAACGACTTCTTGCTTTTTAAGGGAACCGGATCGCGGGAGATGGCGGCCTCACAGGCCATGAACCAGCTTGTCCGCGTCGGGGTGGCTTGGTTCACATCTGGCTAGCTGCTCGAGAGAGCTGTGAAATCTTGCCATTCTACCACACGGTAGTGTTGCCGAGGCGTGCGTCCCAATGGCATGCGCGGAGACATTCGCAGACTTGGCGTTACCACGACTGATGGACATCCCTCGTTGCGAATTGCATGCAGGGCCCAAAGCTTTGGCAGGCAGCGAATGCAAGGCTCCCTGTAGGATACCCTCGCTACTGCTGTGAAGCAGACCGAGCTAACATAGCTAACCAGGAGTGGCGGCATGGCAGCGCAAACCACCATCCTGGAGCCGGGCCGTGTACGGTCGTTCCAAACCAAAGCGCCAACTCTGAGAATCTCGAGGCCCATTCCTCACACGCACAGTTCTTTACAGATTCGCTAGCTTAATACGAAAGTCTTTCGGACCGTCAAAATGCAGTGGGAGGCAAAGTGCAGACATCATTTGCACTTCCACTTCTTTCTCTCTGACTGCTACGCGGTCGTAGATCTATGGCGCCTGATGTCCGACATCACCTTCTACAAGAACTTATTTGGTGCTCAAGTCAGACCCATGGCTCCATGGGTTGTGTTCTTGCGCTTGTTTGTGAAGCCGGGCTCATGTTCCGGATGACCTCAATCACCAAGGAAGTTTGCCCATGGATTGGCCTGGTGGGACACAGCCAGGTGCTGCCCAGGTCCGCTCAAGTTGGATCTTGAGCAAAACGCAATACATGTTCGGAGAACTGAGACATACTGAGACATGTGCCCAAGGCTGAGAATGTAGAGCAACTCGTCAGGTGGCTCTTTGGCACTATCGGAAATGCAAAGCTGGAAATGGCATGTACATTGGAGTTTATTTCAATGCCATCGCCGAAGATGCAGTCGGATACGAGTCTGCAGGATGCACCATTATGCATGCGAATTTGCTAGTATACCCACAACGGCAATCCGCGTCAGTCCCCTGTGTTCCTCCTGGACTGCCAAAACGAGATGGGTCGTGGGAAAACGAGCATGCTTGCCCTGCAGTTTGTGAGCGAGAGACCGGTACACTGCACGGTAGAAAGTAGTGGTGTCACGGATAGTTACCACAGTTCCGATCACCACAATTTCGCCGCCCCCCTGACAAGGCGCGAGAGTGTACTGCCAGAGGGGGTAGCCAGGGTCAGGTTGCAGAACAGCATAAAACCACATCAGATGGCATTGTACTGCTTGTCCCACGTACCATTGCCAGTGTGGCGCCGTCCCCACGTCCCTGGAGGATCCTGGGACTTGCATCTCCAATCTTCAGTTCGGACGAATTTCCCTGGTGTGCAATTTTGTCAGCTGGGCGGGTGGGAAGATGGTATTAGTATGTCAGTATGTCAGCTCACCTTGTGCCCCTTCCCGTGCGCGTGCTTTGCACCTCTCGGTAGAACATTTTGTGCTTGCCGAGAACCGAACAAAAGATGCCGCTTCTGCAACTAAGGCTAGGCATGTGCCTGCCCTCTCTGAACACGAACTGGAACCTTGCAAGGGAACAGTTGGTTCGTTGGTGGTTGGCTTTCCAGATGGGAACTTTGCACCCCGAGCTGGAAATAGATGCTGGCAGCCTCAAAATTGCCGAGCTGGCACATCGTTCAGAAGTTCCGGTCGACTGGGCCATTATCGGTCTCGGAAGGAGTGGTACAAGCTCTCTTGCGGCATGGTTGGACACACATCCACAGCTCGAGCTGTTTCGTGACAAGACCGACTCCTTCAATGAGGGTGCTTTCCACTACCTGTTCCGGCGGACCAACCTGGAGCACTTGGTCAGGCGAGACAGCTTGGCCCAGAATCCTGCAAAAACTGGAAGGCGGAAGCGGCGAATATTAGCAGGATTCAAAGAACCACATCTGCTTCAGCAGGAGCGGGGGAGACTAATCCTGGCGGAAATGCAGCACGTGAAGTTGCTGGTGATTGTCAAGACACTTATCCATGTTGGACCGGCTTGGAGTTGGCAAAGTAACTGTGTGCAGGCATCGGTCAAAAGCGCGCCAGCAACGTTAAATGTGCCCAGTGCCGAAAGAACTTGCAGCTAAGCAAGGAACTGGGCTGATTGGCTGAAAAGCCATGTGCTGTTCGCTGGCGCGACCGGCTGCTTTCCAAGAATCCTCGCACAGTTCCTTTTCCGCAGTTGTGAGTGTAGAAGGAGAGGCCAGGGGATTTTAAAGAAGCAAGCAATGCCAGGCAGACAAGGTGCCATCATGTTCGGCGGCAGTTTGAAAGAACCCGACGTCTGTTTCGCGTGGGCTTACCGGGGAAAGGCTGAACCAGGGGCCAAACAGGTCTGGATTTGGGCTGAGAGTCGCGAGTTCGGGCCGTGGGTGACAACGTGTGTGAATGGGTGAATTGCAGTGCTGGTCCACTGCAGGTTGCATGTTTAGGGGGGCTGTTGCTGTAACCGGGCTGCTGGACAACGAGGCCTGCTGCAAAAAAAAAAAAAAGGTTTAGAGTTATAGTGAACACCAGAAAGTTGGAACATGGATTTAGGAGGATCCGTGCTAGGATTCCCTATACTTTGCTTTAAAGGCATGAGGCTAATGATGTTCCAACTTTCTGGCTTCTACTGTAATCACACTGAAGACTCGGAGGATCTGGCGACTGGATAGTATCTACATACTTGGAGAAGCGGTCAAGAAGGCAGGATTTTCAGAGGCTGACCAAAATATTCGCGTCGCTGTGGCAAACTTGGGCAGCCAGCCTGCGGGGCCCAGTAAGTAGTGTCACACCGTGAGGACTTCGGCAACTTCGAGCGTATTGAAGGCCAACAAGAGTCTGGCAAAGCAATCCAAACGCACTGCACAAAGTCGCAATTCGCAAGGTTCGGGAGTGCTGAGAACTAATTAGTGGATGCGAGCGGCACGGCTCTGACAATAATATGATAGAATGCGAAGCGAACATTGACGCAGCAATAGCCGAGTAACAGCGCCCACAGCAACCAAGTCCGATCGATTGCTTGGAACGCAAGAGCACCCCAGAGTTACCGCGCTGTTTACCCGGAAATTTAGCAAAGACCTTGGCACAACCAAGTGCGGCAAGGAAAGAGCTGCAACAAGGCCTCGGCAGTGGCAAGGAGAACAACAGAGGCAACAGAGATCCGAAACGGGTAGACGCCCGAGAATATGGAACACCGCTTCTTCGTCGGCATTGTTTTCCTGATGCAATGCTGCAGCCCCCTCTGCGGGAAGCCGTTCTCGTATCATCCTGCCGCCTCTCAAGTCTACCCCCTGCCTGTACTCGAAAATTGTTGGGGCGCGAGTTGCACAGTAACAGCAAGAGCTCTTGAGCAAATGCCGTCGTCAGAATCGTGATAGGGTTGACCTCGGCCGAGATCCCCATTCCTGCGCATGATGTGCTAATGAAGTTACTAAAGCTGGCATTTTCACTGATTTTCCGCTCTGCCGATGGCTCACGTGACGTAGGCTACGGCAATGGTGAACGCACAGTTTTGGGGTCATGATGCCGAGCTCGGGTGCTTGCTCGTCTCGTCTTGTTTCGGGGCCGACAGGTTCAAGGGTGTTTCAAGGTCTGCAAAAGCTGTTGTGCTGACAGTTTCGCTTCCACCGAAATTGCAAAAGCCGGTCTCCGCCGTCGAAACGCCCAGGCTTCGTGAAGATTCCGACGTAACCTCATGCGGCTTCTCCTTCGAGTCTGGCCATGTCGTGCCAAAGATGCAGGACTTGGAATCGAAAGGAGCCGACTGAGATCCGGCACAGTCAGTTGTGGAACACATGTGGCGGAAGGAGTGGCCGTGCACCGAATGAAGCTGGTGCACCTCGATACACTGATGGCAGAGGTCCTTGCTGTGACATATCATAGACTTGGACCTGATGTCAGCGTTTTGGTCTGCAGGGAGAGGCGTCTCTCCAGCGGATCGCTGCCTTCCTTGGGGCGGGTGCAGCAAATCGCTCCTTTGAGCGTGCTGCGGAGCTGCCACAGCAAGGCAATGTCACAAGCGCCAACGAGGCTGCTTTCTGGAAGGCCATGATCTTGAGCTCTTAGATTTCAATATTCCGAGTGTTAGATGCAGACTGGCACGCTGGAGAAGATAAGCTTATGCTCACGCTCAGGGGGGCCGAGAGCAGTGTGTTGGTTGTGACCGTTGTGACGCGGACAACTCTATGCCAGGATGCATGCAAGGACTGCGCCGCTCGCGACGTTTTGAAGATTCGAGTCCCTTTCACATGGCAATGAAGCCGATCATGTTGAGCATCTTGCATCAACGTGGCTCGTGTTCGCCATGGGCTCGGTCGGATGCCGGTCACACTAGACCTTCCAAAAAGAACTCTTGTGACCGAAGGAAATGTTGAGTTGAACATGAACACAAAAAAGTTAAAAGGGTTCCTTCTGAGCTTTAGGCTCGTGTCTTTGTCCGGGGCACCGGGTCCAAGGCTTGAGTTGAACGAAGCTGTGGTGCTCTGGTGCTACCATGGAATATCGTGCTGTCCACATGTTCTTTTGGAGGAATGGTGTGAGCTGCCGCAAGATATGGCTCTGAGACTTGAGCGTCCCTTGGATGCTTTTGGTACGTGTGTCTGGTTCAAAGAGATATCTGCCATTGTGTGCCCGTGGAGTGTTTCGCTGAAACTGACACTCTCGCAGCAGATGAGTTTGTGAGGACGACGAGAGGCTGCGACCGTCGGGCTGGCAGAGATCTTGCTCAGAAGCCTGGCATCCTGGCAAGCAAGCAGCACTGCAGGCTTCCTTTTCAATTCAATTGTTTTATGCTTCAGGAACCTGTGCCGGCCTCTCTCTTGAGACCGGAGCCCTTGCAAGACTATGCCTGTAAACGCGCGCGCGCGCGCGAGCTGGACCAAAAGGCTCGCTGAGCTCAACCTGACGATTGATATTTCATTTGTGAATGACGTTTCGTTTTCATATAGAAGAATAGAAAAATCAAGAAACAATTCCGGCCACAGCGGGAGGAGAACCCTAAGAATTAGTGAAATCGGGTTTAGATAGGGATTCCAATCTCTCGTAAAATGCGAGTATTGGGAAGCTTACAGGTCTCCTTGAGCTAATATTAGCAGTTTCAATCGAAATTCAGAAAAAGTATGTAATGGCAATCTAATGCTCAGAGAAGTAAGTATGGGAAAAGAACGAATTTTCGCACCGATGTATTTTAATTGAGTTCGATTCAACATATTAGGCTCGTAAATTTCTGATCAAAAGTATTCGAACATGTTGATTATCAAGATTCTCTAGTAAAAAGATGTCGTGCTGGTTGCGGCCGTCATCTTGAAATTCTGAGCGCACCCCTGCCCCCTATAACTGGGTCCTTTTCCGTGTGTCTTCGTGAAAACCTTTTGTAGGATTGATTCGCGCGATTAAAACCATAGAAAAATCAAGTATCGCGAGCGTTTCCCTCTCGGTGTTAAAATCCCGAAGATTTTGGTAGCTTAAGGAAATCTCGTAGTACTGGCATCTTCTAAATTTTGGTAAGATCAGGGGGATGACAGAGATTCTACAGATTTTTGGCGGAGGCTCTAGTGCTGTGCTTGCTGCTGAATGAAGCCAAATATAGTGAAATCCCATATATAAGAGCCCGTTCGACGAGAGTAGCCTATCCTAAGGTTCTTAATTTCTATGTCATATGATTTTACCGGTCGAGCAGCTAGGACAGGCTCAGATTCTTAACCACGTTCTTATCCACGATTGATACCTTGATTGAGGACTCTCAGGAAATTTACTTTCGGATTCTAAATTTCCTTGGGGGGGGGGGCTGGGCCATAGAAGTCTGGAAAATTTAGTTTTCAATTCCAAATTTCCCCAGCTTTTCGAAAGGATTCGGGGCGGAGGGCATGACTAGGGGGCCAGAAAAAGGGAGAGGGGAGTGAATTAGTCTCCAGAAAATTTATTCTTGGATTCTAACTTTCTTGGTGCCGGGAGTGTGACTTGGGCCAAGGACCACAGGACTAGTACCAAATTCATTGTTGAATTCTAAATTTTCACGATTTGGTGGCAAATGACTCCGTCTCGGTGGGTTACGCGGTGCAGGCAGGCTTTCCGCATAACATCAGTGGGGATTGAAATAAAGGCTTTCGCGCACAGGTGCGCGCGCGGAACCACTGCGCTATGGAGTGCTGTCCTGGACCTGGTCAGTATCCTTATCTTGGGGGCGAGGGGATTTTGGAGGTCTGGAAGAAGGGCTGGATTTTTTTTTGGATTCTAAATTTCCTGGTGCCGTGGGGGTGGATCGGAGCCTTGGGCGCCAAGGACCACCGGGCTAGGAGGATGCTGGTGCGGAAATTGTATTTTCTAATGGGGGTGTGGATCGGTGCCTTAGGGCGGGATGAGGCTGGAGGCCTTAGTATAGCATACTCTCGCCGAACCCAAACCCAGCTAAAATTTAGGGAAGGATTTTCATTTATAAAGAAGGAAAGATGTACCCAACTAGCATGAATATCCTCCTTATCCACCATCAGAGTCGTCCCCACCGTGCCGTCACGAAATGCCACAGCTAGATCAGCCTACCCTCACCCCTATCCCCTAAACCCTAATTTGAGGGAGCAGCTTTTGGGCATGTAGCTCGTGATTGCCTGAACTGGAAGGCTCAGCTTATTAACGGGTTCAGGGTTCTGTTCAGGGGGTTTAGGGGTCTTTCAAGCACTTTGGGGTCTAAGAGGAGTAGCAGAAGCAGAAGTAATGGTAGCAGGAGTAGCAGCAGCAAGCAGCAGGAGCAGTACAGTCGTAGTAGTAGCAGTCATAGAAGAAAAAGTAGTACTACTACCGCTGCTACTGCTACTGCAGCGAAGCACAGGGCTCGGACTCTGAAAAATTTAGTTTTCAATTCTAAATTTCCTGGTATATTGGAGTCAGGGGAGCACAGGCAGGATGCTGGAGGTTCGGAAAATTTAGTTTTCAATTCTAAACTTCCGGAGTGTGACACCACGCGGGTTCGAAATAACATTCTCGTGTCTCCAGAACCTATGCACAACCACTGCGCTGTGGCATTCCTGTCGCCATCAAGCCATTATACGTGTATTATGTTCTGGCAGAGGGTTTCTTGATGTGGAGGGTTGGGAAATTTAGTTTTCGATTCTAAATTTCCCTGGTGAGGGAAAGCATCCAAAAAATTAAGAACCTGACCCAAAGAAACTAGGGTACCCTAAGGTTCTTAATATTGAAGCAACTTGAATCTGGTGCCTGGGTAGGGGCTCAGGTTCTTAAATGGTGGGATATTCCAGTATTTTTACTGCATCAGTCGCTTGGCAGGGTTCGTGTCTGGGTTCGTGTTTTGGTTAGTGTCCGGGTTCGCGTCTGGTTCGCGTTCGGGTTCGTGTCTGGTTCGGGTTCGTGTCCGGTTCGTGTCCGGGTTCGTGTCCGGTTCGTGTCTGGTTAGTGTCTGGGTTCGTATCTTGTTCGTCCAGTATCTGGAATCGTGTCCGGTCGTTCGTTTCTGGTTTGGGCGATTGGAAATGTGTCGGATTCGTGGTCGTTTCAATTCCGATTCATAATTGCTTTTTATCTGGAATGATGAATAGGAGCTAGAGATAAAAATAGAAATATATATTTGCTTATTCGTCTCTCATATACCTACATACTTAGAAATCTATTCATAGATTTACTTACTTATCGATCTCTATATTCTTAGATTTATAGGTTTATGCACTTATAGATTCGTATAATTTTATATTCATATATTCTTACCTAATTATAAGCACTCTCTATTCGGTTATTCTTTTAGTTATATTCATATTTACTCTTATATTCGTGCATTTCTATAAATATATTTAAAATCATTTGAATCTATATATATATATATATATCGATACGTTCTTATATATTCATTTTTCTTTATATAAATGAATTTTCATAAATCGGAATATCTATTTATATATATATATTTATTTATATCTAAACGCATTAACCTACTCTATTTATACGCGGTTATACGATCGATTTCATAATTAACTCTATAATTAAAAGAAGATTGCGTCTTAGATACTTCTGGTTGTTTTATTAGGGGATTTCTATACTATAATTATACGAAGATTCCCAATATTAAATTTCAAAATTTTTCGAATGATATATAGAGATCCGAAATTGATTAAAATATTCGATATCTTGAAAAAGAAAAATATTCTTAGTAGGCATGATTGATATTGCATATATATTTCATTAAATTTTTGTGCAACCGGATTTTCGGATTAGATTCATTTAATAAGGATAAGAGAATTGATTTCATGTAATTATTTCGAGTCGGATTTAGGATTTGAAGTCTTATTATAATTTGAGATTATTTAAATGAATATTCAATTTAAATTATCATTAATATGATATCGCGAAATATATTTGTGCATATATTTATGCCTTATATATTCATTATATCTGGTAGCGTCACGCGTCTGGAGATATCGATCGGATATATGATATAGATAAGATAAAGATCCTAACTAGATATATATGCTAATGATTTCAATTTGATAATATTATAGATTTTGATAGGCTTAATCTGAATATGAATATTAAAAAATAAAGAGAAATAGATCACGAATAATATATATATATATAGAAGCAAAAGATGATTTACATAATGAATTATTGAAAAAATTCATATTTCAAGATTAAATTTTCTTCTAAGATAGAAAAAAAGATATATATATATATATATATATTTATTTATAGATATATATATATATATGAATATTCATTTATATATATATATATATATTTATTTTTTATAATCTGATTGATAAATGTAGATACGAATTTTTTTATTTGTCAAATTCTGGAAGAAAATTCTTATAGATCATATGATAAAATAATATATTGATCATTTCGCAATTTATTTCTAAATCCTGATTTTCAAGATCTTAATATTTCTTCTGAAAAATCGAATCAGAAATCTTTCAATTTCATATCTCACGGACGGAGATTCTTATATGGATTCTCTCCATTCTCCCCTTCCTCCCCATTTTCAATCGAATTATTTGATCTATTCCCTCCCGTCATTTAGATAAATCAAAAGAAGAATTTCATTATTTTATAGAAAACTAATATATTCATATCAATACGATTTCTTGCTATCATTATAAATATTTATGAAATTTCAATTTGATATTTTTATATCGAATTCGATCTCTATAATTTCTTCTCCATCCGTTCTCTTCTATTCACAGATCTAATATCTCTCTTGATTCCAAATAAATCCTCACGCTCCTATGAGAAGAAAGAGATTCTAAAAATATCCTAGAATCTATCGCTTACTACTGCACAGACAATATATGATTATTTATTATCTTCTGCGGGTAGAAAGCAACGAATAGATTTGATATAAATTCGCAATGAATTCGTAAATTTCGCAGGAAATAAAAAAATAAAAAGATCGTAGCTCATTGATAATTGATATTAATAGACGTATCAATAGAAATAGCTAAGCTAAGGTTCAAATTATTAATCTTTATAAACATATATATTATCGAACAAATATTCAATCTTATCTTTCGAAATTCATATTTTCTTTATAAAACTATAATTCATGTTCTAGAAGAAAATCGAAAATACGATAGAAAGAGATTCTAAGGATCGGAGATGAAATTTAAAATCTTCCATAAATTTCAATGATATGATAGATATCCATAATATGATATGATAGAATACGAAAAAATATGTAGATTCTATTATCTTCTTTTCTTCGAATTTGAAATTAATATTCTTTCTTAACTATATCTTATCCTCATTACCCCTAACCTATCTATCTTTTTTTTTCTACTATCTAATTACCCTTCCTACCGTATCTTATCGACTCCTACCCTACCTACCTTACCACGATCGTCTCTCTTTCGATTTATAAAATCTACGAAAATCCGAAGACTCTTTACGGAAT